GTTATTCCTCAAACCTCACTGCACATATAAGAAGTCACAGTGGTGAGAGGCCTTATGAATGTAAGGAATGTGGCAAAGCCTTTAATCGGTCATCACATCTCTGTACTCATATGAGAACTCACTTTAGAGAGAGACTTTATTAATGTATGGAATGTGGCAAAGCTTTTTGTCACTCCTCAACCCTCAGTATACAATGAGAACTCACACTGGTTAGAGACCTTATGAACATAAGAAATGCAGCAAAGCCTTTTGTCAGTCCTCACACCTTACTACACATACAAGAATTCATAGTAGAGAGAGGCCTTCAGTAAGGCATGTGGAAAAGCATTTAGTTATTCCTCATCCCTGACTGAATACAGAAGAAATCACCCTGGAGAGAAATATTTTAAATATATGGAATGTGGGAAATTCTGTTGTGATTCCTCAAACCTCACTAATATAAACATCCATGGTTTAGAGAGCCTTTATAAATATAGGGTGTTTGTCTATGTATGTAAATTGTTATGATGGAACAACCAATGGTTAATTGTAGACATTTACTTCACCCTTTAAGCTCCTATAAATAAGGTCAGTTTCCTACCAGAACAGCTCAGATCTTCATTGTCCCTCACAACAAATGAAAATTTCTCCAGTTGTCCATAAATTATCTATTACGGTTATTGGGTTTTTTGAAGTTAGGATCCAAACCATATTTCCACGTTGCCTTTTTATTTCTAGATCTGTTTAATCTGTTTTACACAAAACATTCTCCTGCTTATCTTGTAAAATGTTCAGCATTCTGATACAGTCAAACCTGTGACATCCGGAACCTGTGTAAGTCAGAAACTTGTAAGAGAATAAAAACTCACTGGGTGTTTATGATGTATGATTCTTAATAGAGAACAAAATAAAAGTGGTAAGTACCCAATCAAAGGTGGAAAACATGCAAGACCTGGTAAAACAAGGCACTCCCATTGCTTCCCGTCTCTCACAGGTTTTACTGTATTTGTTTTATTATGATTTTGTTTAGTTTGTCTTCTGTATTTTTTGTAAGGTAGACGTTGGGTTTTGCACAGTTCTAATAGAAATGTGATGCACATTAAAGATGTCATAATTTTCTAGTAGCCACATTATACATTTAATAACATAAATATGAAATTTTTAATGAAAAATCTTATTGAACCCAATATGTCTATTCATTGTCAAGGTAAAAATTATAACTGAAATTAATCAATATAAATATATTTATGAAACATTTTTTACATTTCCTTTTGTTGTACTCTGTGTTCCAGAATCCAGAAGCAGCACATTTCATAAATTTTACTATGGAAAAGTAGATTCACAGTCCCAGGTTACTCCAAGCATACTTTTTCAGTAATTGAATCAAGTTTATTGGTACATTTAAATTAATAAAAATTAAAGTTTATTCAGTTTTTTAGTTGCACCAACCACATACATTGTTGATGCAACTGTATTAGTGTTTGAATGCAAAAGAACTAGCTGGATCACTTTGTACTTCCCTGTTCCAGATCTGGAATCAACCCTCTCTCCCCAAACCTCTAGTTTAAAAACCAAGTTGTGTGCAATACATAGGCTCGGTGATAAACCAAAACGTGTTACCATTAACTCAATTTTGTCTTGGCCTTTCAGTGAGCATGTAAAGCACATAAATTTTTACATCATAAATTCATGGTTTTTTTCCTAATAGAAATTTAAGGTTGTATATATATACGTATATGTGTGTGTATATTTATGTACAAGAAATGGTGCTGGACAATGTTAAATAGGCAAACTAGACTTTATTCAGTTTGTTGAGATAGGAAAGAGACCTCAGCATAAGTCTGTGTTCAACTTCAAAGGGTAAGGTGATGCAAGAGGTTTTTTATGAGTTTTGGGTGTCATACGACAGTAGAAACTTAGTAATTTGAAGTTGGCAAGCAAAAACACGGCACGAGGATGGGTTTTAAGCAAGAATTCTATTTTCAGAAATGTTTGCTCAAGGCTGATTTATTAGGCTGAAGCAAGGAACATTCATGGGATAAAGGTAAATGGGCAAATCTTGTCAGTTTGTGTTATTTTATATTTGCATGTCTTTTAATAAATACCTTGGTTCCTAGTAATATTCAAATAATTTCAAAGTCATAATACTAATTGTGCTACTAAAAACTTATTTTGTAAAGTACTGAGTTTTTTTTTCTATATTTTCCTTATACATTTACATTAAGGATATTAACACAAGATTAGTGTGCGTAAACATTGGTTTGAGCGCAAAGTGTCTTGCGAATGGTTATGTGATCAGTTTGATATTGTTTGCTGCCATCGAGTTGGCTCCAGCCCATGGTGACCTTATTTATGTTGTGTGCATGGAGTGGATTCCAATTCATAGTGACTCCATTTGACAAAGTAGCATTTCCCCATAGGGTTTTCTTGTCTGTAATCTTTACAGAAGCATATTGCCAGGTCTTTACCCCATAAAGCTGCTTGGTGGGTTTGAAGTGTCAACCATTTGGTTAGTAGCCAAGCGCTAAACCATGGCATCTCCAGGGCTCTTTGTCCTCCTGCGTAACAGAACTGATGTTGCCCACTTCTGCGCCATCTTCATGATCACTGGTATGTTTTAGTAGTGCCTTCCAACCCAGGGGGCTCATCTTTCAGCACTATATCAGACAGTGTTTTGTTGTGATCCATAAGGTTTTCATTGACTCATTTTCTAAAGTAGATTGCCAGGTCTTCCTAGGCTGTTGAAGTCTGTAAGCTCCACTGATGTCCACCATGGGTGACTGTACAGGTATTTGAAATACTGGTGGTATAGCTTCCTGCATTAGCAACATGCCAGCCACCACAGTAGGTCAAACTCGCAGATGGGCAGTGGCAGTTTCATATGTTATTATGTTTACTTGTTTTTCGTACATTTAATGTTAAGGTTTGCTTTCATTTTGAATTATTCCTTTAACATATAAAACTTCCACATGGTTCAAAACTGAAGAGTATATGAAAAGATGTATTCAGAAGGAGACTTCCTTCTATAGTACCTGTGTTCTGTTAATACCACCACCAGTTACTAACCATTTCCATTTTGTTTCCTGTGTAACTTTTCAGTGTTTCTCACAAATGTTGCTCCCCCAGAATACATAAATACATACATGAATGTATGTTGGTTATTTACCATGTTTTCTGCACATAAGTGTATTTTTTCCACTTAAGAATATATACTGGACGTCAGTCTACTGAGTTCATGGTATAGAGGAGGGTAAGAGATAGGTGTTGGCAAAGGCTGTGCATGTGTGCGGTAGAGCTCAGGAGGACTGGTGGGCACTTCTGTCTCAGAATGTCCTTGATCCGTGTTGTGTGCGGTCGAGTCCATTCCAACTCAGTGACCATATAGGACAGCATAGAACTGCACCATAGGGTTTCCTAGGCTATAATCTTTACAGGAACAGATCTCCAGGTCTTTTCTCCTGTAGCGTTAGGTAGGTTCTAACCACTGACTTTTCTGTTAGAGTGCTTAACCACTGCACCACTGTGGCTCCTTCCTTGGTCAATAACCATGTGTAAATATGCTGATAGTTCACCTAATAGTACCTTGTTAGGCTGTGCGCATCAAGTGGTGAAGAAAAGAAACAAACCTCTTAAAGTCTTTGGTTTTTCTTTTTTGCATGTCAATGGAAAATTTTCAGTTTTAAACATACGGTTCAAACGTTTAACTTTAATACAGGTGATACAATTCCTAGCCCTTTAAAGGCTCTTCTATTTATGGACAAGTATTTTCTGGGGCATCGTCTCTGAAAGAACTCTGGTGGTGCAGTGGTTAAAGCACTCAGCTGCTAATTGAAATATCAGTGGTTAGAATCCACCAGCTGCTGTGGGGGAGAACGATGTTGTAGTCTACTTCCGTAAGGATTTACAGCCTTGAAAACCCACTGGAGCAGTTGTGCTCTACCCTTTAGGGTCACTATGAGTCAGAATCGACTCAACAGCAATGGGTTTAGTTCTTGTTTTGGTTTAGTCCCTTTGAGCCCCACTCATCTGTCCCTTTGTTGTACTGTGGTGGCTTACATGTTGCTGTAATGGCTGAAAGCTATGTCACCAGTATTTCAAATACCAGCAGGGTCACCCAGGTGGACAGGTTTCAGTGGGGGTTCCAGACCAAGACAGACTAGGAAGAAATGCCTGGTAATCTATTTCTGAAAATTAGCCAGTGATATCCTTATGGATCACAACAGAATCAGATATGCCGATGATCACAAAGATGGTACGGGACCGAACAAAATTTTCACTCTTATGCATAGGATCTCCATGAGGTGGAGCATAATGGGCAGCTAATAACAAAGTCTCTGTGAGAGACACAGAAGGGGTTGGGATTTCTCAGCTGCAGATCTGCAGTTCTGAGTGGCTCCATTAAATGATGTTGATGATCCAATCCTTAAGTCCTTCTGTGTCTAAGCAGGTGTTTTTCTCATGGAGTGTCTGGAGAGGGCACAAAGAAGGACACATTGAGATTTTCTAAATCTGTTCTCAGATGCCTAAATGTAGCAATGGAGCTCTGGAGGCACAGTAATTAAGAGCTCAGCTGCTCACCAAAAAGCAGTTCGAATCCACCAGCCGCTTCTTGGAAACCCTGTGGGGCAGTTTTACTCTGTACTGTAGGGTTGCTATGAGTGGGAATTTGCAGTGGGTTTTTGGTTTTTTAAATATAGTAAGAATAACAACCCCAAAGTTCTGTAAGATTGGTCTTTTCTCTGCCACTAGAGTTTAGACTTTCAGTTTTAAACCCAGAGTTCTGATTGTGCACATGTAAGAGTTAAACCCCACCTGGCCCTGATAGGACTCGTTTCTTGGAAAGTGATTTAAAGCACTGCAGAGACCCTCAGCTTTTTAAATAACCTGGATTTGATTGTTTACATTGGAGTCTGGA